CACCCCTGTTACCAGGGTACGTGTAACCCCGTTACATAGCCAGTATGAGTGTAAAGGATCGCAATACGCTACCTTCAAGAGTACCGAAAACCTTAACCCAAGGCAAATTCACTCTTCCGTTCAAAATCCAAACTGTATTTATTTGCGGCAAATCCGCCTATATCTAAATATCTATTTTTTTCTGAATAAATAGTAAAATCAGATGAAATGCATACCTATTGGCAGTCCCGCCACGTTACGGTGTATCCACACCGTTGTGTGATTACACCGTCTTCTGTAATCCACATCTTTGTACGGTCACACCATCTTGTGTGACCTACCCCTTCATACCGGGGTGCGTGTAACCTCGTTACACTGCACGCGTAACATAATTGGCCTCACGATGGATACCTTGTGTGATTCCACAGCAATCCGAATTGGGCGCTCATAGTGGTGTCTCATCAGCGCAATCTTACAAATGATGAACGCCCTCAGGCAAACAATTATCGCTTCCGACCCCTTTACCACCAGTTTTCTAATCCCAGAGGAAACAACGATAGACAAAAGCTTTCCAAGCGTATCTTGTTGTCCCCGGGACAGGCAATCGAGCGAATCGTGCTTCATCCTTATATCGTATGCAGGATTACAGCGACTCGGTCGTCATTTTGACTACCACTGCTCTCAAGTGCAACGGGGATGCCATGCGTCATGCACAAGATAGCCTTGACTCAAAGCATCTGCCTTCTTCAACGCAGGGTAAATTGTTCCTATTTCAATAATAACATTTATTCAAAATTGATTCTACGAACTAACACGTTTCTCTCAGAACTATCTCAACTGTTTGACATTACATCGTCTTTATTAGTATAGTAGACTGGTACCTTTGGTTTTTGCACAATTTCATGAGTGTAATTTATATTGCGTTCTGATACACTAAATAGAATATATTACGACAGTATATTCCATTTTTCGAAATAATGAGACATAAACATAAAAAACTTGCTCGAATAATACAATGATTGTTCGATTCTGTATCAATACACATGTAAAAGTGATAGTTTGTACACCTGTACACCTGTACAAAATCGTTCTAGCTATCACTTTTACATGCTGAGCCACCTTAACGTACTCACTGCATTATGCCACATTGCAGACTCTAAACCCTATCCAATGGCGCAGATAAATATACACAATTCCAAAATAGACAATTTGCATTCCAATGTGCCTGCCTTGCTTTAGCTCTGAATACGCTTTATGATGCACTTTTTCAATCTCTATTGAACCACGAGGAGATTTTTGACATTATTTTTGATCTCATTGGATCCTCCTCATCACCAGCGTCCTCAGCCGGGTCGTCAACGACATTTACAGAGCTAGGAGCTCCTAGGTAGCGTTCTTCGAAAAAACCCATACCGGGAACCAATTGTCCTTCCTTGTTGAGTCGCGAGTCCAACGAGGCGGTCACTAATCGTGCATCACCAAAAGCCTACATCCCAGTATATTGGTTACATACGCAGTATGAAAACATCATAGATGCCCGCCCACCTTGCAAAAGCCATCTGCAGCTTCGGAGCAAGTTACAAGAGTCACGACTGTAATTTTTTCTTCCTTAGCTCCATGGTGCATCAAAAGCTACGAAATAGCGTTCTCGCATTGTTTAAAACAATATACAGTGATAAGGCAGTGATAGAATATGCGCACATGAATGACTTTATCGACTTGAGAAACCGACGCAAGTTCTGGCAACAAAAGCAATACTTCGTAATCCTCCAGACCTTCCGGAAAAGTAGCCTTAACGATCTATCCAGAAGTATATAATTACCGGTTTAGTTGTACCAATGAAATATTTTGTCGCGTACCGCGCTGCCACCTTTGGCAGCATCTTGTACCAAGATTTCACCGTATTTAGCATCGTAAGGCAGAGTTGTTTGAAGAACTTGTGATAAACTGTACACGAACCAGCAAATTCGGGGTGAGACTACCTAACTAACCAACAGGTGTACGCGCTGTCTCAATGCGCAAGTAAAAAAGCTATGTTAAGTTTCAGGCACCCTTTCTGAGCATCTGGGTTCACAGCGATGCTAATGCCGCACACCTTAACATCGTCTTCAAACACAAGCCCCTCAATTTTGTATCCATGTGGGGTTGTTACAACGGCCTTCACAGGCAATAACAATAAGTTGACCCAGAAATGGTGTTAAATAAGCGGGTGACGTAACCTCGATACCTCGTCATCGGTCGGAAGTTCTGCCAGCGCCAACTCACATGCTGAACGCAGCACTCCATTCGCATCATGCGCAAATTGTGCACCTTTTTCCCAAATATTGTTATTCGATCGAAGGAGCGTTCCTAGCGTTTTGCAATGCACTTACCGGCATTTTTGTAGTCGCGAATTCTCGTCATGCCGAGCTGAATCAATTCACTTTCTAGATCCAAGACTACCACATTTTCATGCTGAAATCCATCAACAATTACCCCAACGAAACGTTACTCAACATTAAAACAGTTGCCGCAAACCTGAGCTTTCCAGAGCTCTAGTCGGACTCCTCGCCCTAATGCCTCGCTACAAATGTTGTTTTCCGTCATCAATCAATATATATATGTATAGCGTTATGATTATTGTACATACCCGCTAGTATATACGCGTTGTTCCGCACGCAAATGCTGCTGCAATAGAAGCATGGGCGAGCTTATAAGCGCGACTGCACCAAGCCTCGCATGAGTGCGCACAGCTCGTATAAACATTTTTTTTACGTATTCAGTCTCAGGATCGAAGCTAAACGGCAAATTATGATTGGTCAAATTCCAACCTCAACAAAAAAGGAAGCCATGTTGCACGAAGGGACACGTTGAACGTCAAAGATATGTCGAAGCAAGGCGCTCGTCAGCGCGATCGACTGGTAGACAGGCTTTCAGAGCAGTATTCATCTTCCAAATCTGGCTCTTCGTCGTCCGGATTTACACGAAGAACCACTCGGAGAAAAAGCGTGTCGAGAGAAATTGGTCAAAACCCGAATGATGGGATCAAGCAGAATAAGAAAGAAGGTTTTAAGAAAGCAGAGAGAATAAAGCAAACTCCTTTACTTGACAAAGATGTTGTGGAGACAGTATATAGTGCAATGACCGGGCAAGTGCAGCGGTATGCTAGTCGTTTTTGGCTTGAGCAATTTGCTAAATACGAGGAAGCGAAATGTCCCGGATCGCTTAAGACGGACAAGTTTGTGAGATGCCTGAATAAATTAGGCATCAAATTTGATAAAAGTGAACAGTATGAGGCTCTCGCAGACTGTTTCAGAGTAAGCGGGGTAGAAAGAATTGACAGTGACGGTGATAACTCTAACCAGAAGGACAAATCAACACAACTCGTCGATTACAGTGCTTTTGTTGATTTTGCTTGTAATGTTCGGGATTCGACAAAATTGAGTGAAATTGCAACATCAATGCGAAAAAGTATATCACAATACGACGGTAAAAAACAGTCTTCGACTTCCTATAATATGGCAACTGGTCTTGAAAAGCTCGACCGACACAAAAGAGGGTGGATCACTTCAACACAGTTCAAGCGGGCTTTGCAGCGTGAAGATCAAGGCCCACAAATTCGCCTATCCAAGATGCAAATAAATATGCTTGTAGATCGATTTGAATACGAGTATGAAAATCAGCAACTAGGTATTGACTATTTGCAATTTGCACGATGGCTACAACCACTTCTTCATCTTGAATTGAAAAGTGTTCATGAACGACTAAGAATGCTCATTGAAGATGCACGCCTAAAGCAAGGCTGGAGTCTAGACGAGGTATTTAGAGCTATGGACGTTGACAAAGATGGAGCCATTGATGAAGTCGAGCTGAAGGAAGCTCTTTTGGACATGGGCTTACCACTAACAGACGCACAGATTCGGTGCTTGGCCGACGAGTATGACGTCGATGGAGACGGCAAGATACAATGCAAAGAATTTTTCTCATTGTTTGCGTATTCTGGTAAAAGTCAAGCTAGGACTCTAAAAAGACGAAATGATGACTTCAGTGACATGGAAAGCAACATGATGTTAGACACAAAAAAGAGAGACAGGCAGAAGCGAAATGTCCGTAATTCGTTTAGCTGGGGTATTAACAAGGCGTTTGCGCGAAAGCAAGCATCAAAGAACAACAGAAAAAAGAGCCTGACTGACAAAAACTCAGCTAAAGATGAAGACTTGGAGCTCTCAGAGGACACCAGTAGTGAAATCGTGAGTCAAAGGAGGTCTGAGAGGAAGCAAAAAAGACTTTATAGTACCGTTGACGAAGCAATTGCTGACAGAGGAATGAAGCAAAGACATCTTCAAGAGGAATCAAATTCGTCAGACGAGGGCAAAAAGAATAGTAGTTTAACCTCAGACGACCAAAGACAGCGGACATTCACAGCAAAAAGCATACGCAAAGGGAATAGGAAACGAGCCGTTCAGCTATCCTCAACCGAAAGTGAGCAAGAGGATACATATCACAAGCAGAGAAGGACCCGGGCACACAGAACAAAGCGTAATGACAGGAAAAGGTCGGCAACATCTGAAAGTGACGACAAAACCAGAGATCAAAAGAGCGGTAGCCTTAACACCCGTACGTTTAATTCATCCAAAAAACCTGGTATGAAGAGCACCGACAGAAAAAAACAAGATTTGCCAAAAAGCGTCCACAGCCAAAGTTTGGCTTTAAAGTCGCAAGATCGATCTCGCAGCCGCCGAAAACCGCCTCACAGGCAGACAACCCATCTTCATCGTTCGACGTCAAGTTTACATCGAAGGCGTCAGACCAGTCCATCTCGACCGGTGCGGCGGACAAGTATGATTTTATCTGGTAGCGATGCTGGTGGCAGCTCAGACATATCAAATGATAGATTTGACTCGTCGTCCGGTCTGGATGTTGCTCAACTGCGCCATCGTCAGAAAGCAAAAGGCTTACGCAAAATCCACCGCAATAGTCATGCCAAACATACGCAAAATAACACAGAAAAAAAATCAGATGAATATACCATCAAAGATAGCTTTGACAATAATACCGACTTATACGAAGGAGAAGAAAGGAGTCTATCGGATGAAGAATATCATAAACATTTAAAGCGCTCTCTTCGCCGAGCATTCGACTTCTTTGACTTAGACCAGACGTCCACGATTGACAAGCGCGAGCTTGGTCACGTTTTACGAGCTTTGGGCCATGAGTTTACATCGAAAGAACTTGAAGTAGAGATGGCGAACGCTGACTTGGATCGAAATGGGCAGCTTGACTTTTACGAATTTGTTACATTCGTCAAGAGTCAAATCGCTCAGAAAACATATCTACTATCACGACAACGCGAAATGGAGATCCGCCAATCCTTCCAGTCGCTCGATACCGATAAGAATGGGTCGTTGAACGAGCAGGAGTTTGAATATCTCATTTATAAGGTACTACAAGTAGAATTGTCGATCGAGGAGCAAAACGCACTTCTGGATTTTATCGATAAGGATGCTGATGGTGTGATTAGCGAAGAAGAGTTTATTGTATTTCTTAGGAAGCTAGAAACCTTGTATTGCAAGTACAGCCAAAGAGGCAGTTTAAGGAAGCAGGAGGACTTTATGGTTTCGCTTGATACTCATTCACAGCTGGCTTACTCTGCAATGAAAAAGCTAGTCCGCGGTGCTCCAATGGACATCGATCGAAGCTTGCTCATGTTTTTTGGCATTCCATCCAATTTTCGTCCAGCCATATCATCTGCGGCTACATGTCGTGCGCTTTATGACAACACGATGGAGCACGTTCTTTCATTTCCCTCACCCCAAACCATTGAAGCGCTAGCGCTGGACACCACGTTGAGCGAAAAAAAGTCTTGGTTTACGCCCAGCTGGCTGGATACAAACAGTGAAGAGTTTCGCATGTTGCAGATCGCGGAAAGTGTCGAAGCTCAAGCGATTGTTTCTCTGAAAAGAGCTGCTGGTGTGCCGAAGCCATTCGACACAAGAGAAGACGACGTGATGAAGCGCTGCGTCCATGTGTGTCTTTTTCAAGAGCAAGAGAAAACTGCAAATTCTCGAAATCAGAAATCATCAAGACGTCAACAAAATAGCAAACAAAATTCTTGTGATAAGAAGGTGACGGGTGCAGGTATTGTGGTCGGAAATGTGCACGAAATCCCCGTCTATTGGCATCAAGGTGAAGAGGATGTATGGGAGTTTTCAAGGAAATCTACGAAAGAGGATAAATACAAGTTTCTCGTGCGCACGAATACAGTGAATGACCACTTGTACTTGTTAGTGGAATTTATTATTCACCTTAGGCTCAATTCTGATGAAAACCAGTCAAAAAACAAACGGTATAAACATTGGCAAGCATGTAAAGACCAAAGAAGTGTTGGAGATATGAGGGTGGAGGAAGAAACTCGTGAAATGGTGTGCTGTTGGTGCAAGATTCCGGTTCGACAATTGTTAGCAAAACGCTCGGATATATTGCGTCATAAGGAAATATTATGGGGAGGTACTGCAAATGCCCCGGTTGATATTGAGCAGGATGAGCTTCTGCGTCGACGAACGGGGTGGCGAGCGCTCACTAATATGTTTACGAAGCCTTCCCCACCGATTATGGGTATAAAAAGTGTGCCAATTGATCTTCTATCTGACGATCTGCAAAGTTTTGTACGGCAGATGCCCCCGATTGTGATTGCACCATTTGTGGCGCTCCCGATTCTTGCCGAATATATGATTCTTGTGCGTAAATCTCTCGCTTGTGTCGCTGGCTCTTCATCAGGTAATGCTTATTTAAGTGGTAATTTACGTCCGCGATCGTTTAAAATATGCTACTTGATGAAATAGTTGTTATGTGCGAGCCTGCTCTCAAACTATTACCAAAAATCGTGGATGACTACGCTGCGTTGTCAATTTTCCGAAAGGCTTTTGACATTGAAGTAGCCGGAATAAAGTCTAGCGAGGTGAGTTCACATTGTTTTCTTGATACTTTTGTTTCATGCATTGATTTTGCGCACCATTGTTGCAGGATCGTCGTTTGAAGTTTCAGCAGCTTGTGCTTCGCATGTGGCCGTCATTCGTGCACTGGCAAGAACATATCCCTCCTTCAATCTTGTCAACTAATGCAAATCAGAGCCAGAACTCAACAAATCTTGCTAATCTTCCACCTAATGAAATCCTTACTGCTGCAAATTCGGCTTCAAATGAGGAGAATCTTCAGATAGACACTCAGATGCGACTGAAATTGTTGGAGACGACAGCATCTGGGTACGTAACATATTTATTTTCACAGCGATGAATGAATGGATTTTCATGCCTGTCCGTTCGATGATGTACAGCAAACTGCGATTGCAAGATATTCACGTAGCCTCCACACCATTTCACGTCCGCGAGGTAGCTTTTCGCCGCATGTTGTAGTTAAGCCATCAATAACAGCAAATATATTAATTTCCGGGCTTTTAAGCCAATAAACGATATGTATCAATTGTCTGGTTATTATGTTACATATCACTCACTACTCTAGCAGATCAAATCATGGAGGTCTTGCGCGAACATGTAGATGCTATCGCTTTGAGCGAAAACTTTTCAGTCAATGGATTTCGCCTGATGGTGGCGTTGGCAAGTTGCAGCCTCATAGCGCCGCTCATCCACCTTGCGCCCGGCGAGAAGTCCCGTATGAATTTGACTACATTGTGTAGATATTAATTTTGCTTCTCACTTTGCTAAATTACTGCTGTTTAGGTCACTTGTTTAATACGGTGGTGGGACTAATAATTGGTCTCTTTGTGTTTGATCTGGCTGTGCTCCATACCATTGGGTCAGCCATCGCAGTCTATGTGCTCATGATAGTGGCTCCAAGGTGTTACAAACTTGATTATTAAAAAGATTTCTGCAACTAAAGATTGTTTGCTATTTTATGATATGTAGAGAGTTCGTCGGACGCATTGTAATGTCGTTGCTTTTATCGTATCTTGTCGCAGTGTAGGGAACCAAAATGCATTCGCTCAGTTTTTTTTGGAATTTGCAGCACTGAGATTTTTTTTTTCAGCCACTATTACCGCGAATTCTACAGTCCAGACCTTGTGTGGGACTCGGCCCAGATGGTTTTGACTCTCAAGCTTAGCAGCGTGGCGATCAATTACAGCGATGGCTGTCTACCCAAGGAGAAGAAAACGCCTACAATGCAAAAAAATGAACTTCAAGAAATACCGGCACTGATTCCGTATTTAGGTACTGCTTCGTTAGCATTTCGACTGAATCTGGGTGATCAATAATTTTATTTTGTTAGGTTTCGTATTCTTCTTTCCAACCTATTTGGCTGGCCCTGCTTTTGAGTACAAAGACTACATATTTTGGATGAAGGAGATTCGTGTTGCTCAATTTTCTGTCCACCTGCGAAATATATTTCTTATTCTGGTGCGTTATGTGTCTATTTCCACAAAATCACTTCATGGCTAGTTTGATTTCTTGAAAATGAAATTTATTCTGATTTTGTAGGTTTCGGCAGCTGGGTTCTTCGCTTCAATCCAATTCCCTGTTGACGCAATTGACTCACCTGACTTCTTTCCCAAATCACCTTGGGTATTACGCTGTCTTCTAATGTGCATTCCTGTCGTCTTGTTCCGTTTTCGATATGTACGTGGAGAATAGTCTCATTCTGTAATACGTAGCCAATGACGCTTAAATGTGCAGTACCTGGCGTGGTCTCTGGCTGAGGCGGCAAGTGCAGCCGCTGGTGTTGGCTACGTACCGGCCACGGGGAGATGGTCCGTTAGTTGGAGTGACTTTACTGTCGTGACTATGCGTGGATCTGATGATTGTCAATTTTTTTGTTTGAAAGGAATGGTATCACCAACAACGACATCCTCTGTGTAGAGATACCTACAAATTTCCGTGTAGCAATCAACAACTGGAATATAGGAGTCGCGCGTTGGATCAATACATGTACGCTCATATCGACATAGTTGCTTTTGCACCTT